ATGTACACTGGTGTACGCTTAGCTTACCAAGTGGGAAGGATCGCGAAGTACATTCCCGCTAAGTACATAGGGCGTACTCAGCTTGTGATTTTGGTATTTGGGCCCTGTGTTGGGTTTTGGATTGATAACTATTTTGAAAGGCCCACTATTGGATTTAGGCCTAATTTGGAAAATTGATCCATATTTGGGCTTTGGGTGTTTAATTGGAATTTAGGCTTTTGGAATGTTGAATTGGGCCTCTGTTATGGGCCAAGTTATGAAGAGGGTAAAAAGGTCTTTTTCCCTAGTTTGGACACTTAGTGTGGGTCGGATTTGATTATCGATGGATGATTAACTTGTGATTGATAGCATAGAAATTCTTGCGGGCCAGCAACTAAAGATTCTTTCTGTGAGATTCAGTAGTGCGACATGTGTTTTCTCAGTATATCAACGGATCAAAAGCACCAATGCCGTCCCAACATCTGACATGTGGTTGATCGTGTTATGTGTTTTCTTGCATGAAGACCATGGGGGTAATCCATGGCACTTGGATATCAAACCATGGGGGTAGCTCATGGAATTCCAGGTAAAGACCATAGGGGTAGCCCATGACACTTGGATATTAGACCACGGGGGTATACCATGGCATTCCAGGTAACAACCATAGGGGTATCCCATGACACTTGGATATCAGACCATGGGGTAGCCCATGGTATTCCAGGTAAAGACCATAGGGGTGAACCATGGCAAGTATATGTATGTTACAGTGTTTTGTGGTTGTATGTGTGTGATATTTTAGGGAACTCACTAAGCTTCGTGCTTACAATTTTCAGTTTTACGTTTCAGGTACTTTTGTTTTTTTAAAAGGAAGAGCTTGGGATGATTGCAGAGCTTGCACCACCTCATTCCACATTTTTTTAACTTAATTTGATATAATGTAATGTTTGACACATTTGTTTTATCTGGATTCTTATGATGATGTTTATGGAATATTGATTTTATTAATTTTAAATGAAAATTTTGGGTCTTATTTTTGATACGCTACATGTTGGTATCAGAAAAATTATTTGAGTAATTTAGACATACTCTCGGGTGTGTCTGAACTCAAATTGAGGATTTTGTAAAGTTTTTAAAAGGAATTTTTTTTTAAGAAAATGGTTTCTAAGATAAGAAAGGGTGGGGTGCGTGTAATCAGCCAAGCTCAAGTAAGTTTCCCTAAAATACTCATACATGTTATCTGATATGATCTGTGAATCTGTGAATTGCATGTTAGTTAGGGCTAAGGAATCTACTCAAATTTTGCATGATAGAATACTAGGAGAGATGCATTTGTATGTGTATTGTATGAGCTGGTAGACTTGTATGCAGTGATGATTAGGCAGTGATAGATTGGCTTGATATGTGATGCCTTGTAGCTTTGGGAGCATTGGATGCCATGCTGGGATGGGAATAGCTATTGGTATCAGTAATTTGCTAAGTGTATGCTTTAAAAATTGTATATAGTTAGGATCTTATAGCCTTAGAATAATTGATTTGGCCTTATTTCCTGTTCCTTGTTTGGTTGTGGTCCTAGGGTAGAGTCTTTTATTCAATAGTTTATTTGATCTTGTTCTGTGTATAATTTGCATGCATAATACAACCGACAGTGAGGGTGGAAGTTCCTAGCATGAGATTTGGTGTGTGAGTTTGGATGTTCATTGATCATTCTATGGATTTGAGTGTTACTACTCGAATCCTGCTTACTTCGTGCTATGTGGGACTCTTAAGTGATGTGAGTTAACTGTTAAGTGAACATGTTAAGTCACATGTAATAAATATTGAATAATATCATAATGATGGATTTGAACATATTGTGCAGCTCTTGTTTGAGTCTAACCGTTGTAGGGATGAGTCTTTTACTCGAAGGATTATCTGAGATTTGTTGCATGTGATTGTGTTCACGAAGTAGTTAACTAACATTATTAGGAGTTCTTCAGCAGCGGATGGCAAGGTGAGGTCGGGAACCTAGGAAAGCCTAGGGAATGCTTCAGTGGGGTTTTTTTTTTTGCACTGGTTAGCGAGTGCTTAAATGATGGATTTGAGAAGGTGAATTATATGATTCATGATGATTCTTGAGGAAATTATGGATACGTGTGGAAGTTAGTATTGGGTATGTACTACTGAAAGTACATGGTCCATCCTCGAATCAGGAAGAGTCTTGGAGAATCTAGCAAACCTGTGGGATGACGATTCTTGGGTAGGTTCTGATCTATTGCTTGTTGTTTTTCAGTATGGTGTTGAGCGCTTAGGAAGGGGGTTTAGGTTCTGGTTCTGCTAAGGTGCAGGTATTGAGCCGATTGATGAGCGCGTGCGGGAGTTCATCTCATTGGAGATTACCCATGATATTTTAGAATGAACTCCTATGATCTTTGGTTCAGTCAAGGTAGGAATTTTAGAGCTATTGGATGGTTATCTCGGGGCCTTTCGGGTCGAGATTATATCAGGGCGGTTAGGGGCTCATCTGGAGCCCAAAGCTAGTGGATTCCTAGAATCCTTCAGGAAGGTGTATCTCATTGCTAGTTCTTGTTATTTGGGACCGGAGGTAGGTTATGCACCATGTTTTAATGACGTTTGATTCCTTGATTGGATCGCCGTGTAGGTTTCGCTAGCCTTATGCGAGGAGTTTCCTAACATATTTGGGTGTGTCGCTGATTGATTGGTCACCATGTTTGAGAGTCGGACCTCGACTAGTTAGGTGGTTAATGGGATGGTTGGGGGAACCCAAGAGTAAGAGATTGGTAAAGATAAGCAGTTGGGGAAGAGGATGCAGACTCGTAGTCTGGCTCGGTAATCGGAGCAGTTAGACGTTGCCATAGATAGGGTTGGAGACTTAAGAATCTGTGGTGGTTCCATGAAGGATAAGGGGAATATGAGGATGTGCATAACCAGTCTAAGTGCGGTAGGTGCGAATGGAAGGGCCAATTCCGCCATGAATACACACTAGAAGTAGAATTGTGCCATCGTTTCATTAGGTGGGTCACATTAGGGAGAATTGCCCCCACTAAGTGGTTGGGGTCGGCTTGGGTTCCATCGCAGGTACTTCGGTAGGAAGATAGGGTCAGGGTTTCTTCATACGATATTGTAGAAATGTTATCTTTTGCTTTCTTCGTGGTTATTATCAGAATTTATATTGCCTTGGAATTTTGTTCTGGTTTGGGTAAGCATTATCTCTGGTTTGATTCTTTGCTATTGTTTGGGTTATATCATCAAGAATTGTTATATGTTATTCTACATGCCATGAATCATTAGTGAGACGCATCTTGCTGAAAGCGGTTCAGTGTGTTTGGTTGCTATTCCGGGTCTTTGTCGAGATTAATTCAGGGGTATTGATTGGAAGGTCTATGATCAGATTAGTTGGTTATCTCTCTAATGAAGTCAGAGTTCAGTTGTGTTAGAAAGTGTTATATTATAATCGACAGTTATCCATGGAAGTACCTTTGCATTCAATCACTATCGTTTCTCGGGAAGGAACGGTAGCAAGAAGATGGTAGTGGCAGCTGCATGAGTTGTTTAGTCATTAGAGGTGTTAGGGGAATTTCATATTCTCATGGTTATAGATGGTTAGAATTCAATGATTCTTTGAGGATGGAAGTTGGGGTGAAGAATTTTCAGTTTACAACTTAAGGATATAGTGTGGTATCATAGGAGTCATTTGGGAAGTATTTATTTGAATTTTAGGAATTAGGCAATCATCGGGTTTGTCTAGTAATAGAATGCTAGTATTGGTAAGTGCATGTCATAGTGGGTTTGTGTATATGAAGATAGATGGGTTAGGAACCCATCAAGTTTCATGGGTTAGGAGAGTTTCGATAAGTCCAAGTGGGGGAGTATAATCAGAAATTTCCGAGAGTTAGATTGGGTGTGAAACTAGGGTAAGTTTCACATCCTAGTCAGGAGGAGAGTCGACCCTAGTGGCCGTCGGGA